AGGTCAGAATGGCGTCATGGTAGCATCCTATCGTCAATTGAGGATTAAGATGCTTGACACTTGCATATCTATCTACCATCATATATCATGACCGCAAAGCTAATGCAATTCATCGATGCAGCCGTCAAACATCGTGAATAGTAATAACAGAGCTTGTAGGTTTTCGTGTTCTGTAGGCGAATTTACTATGCACTGAACTTGCTTATCAACGAGAAGAAATATAGCCACGGACGATTGTAGATGGATGGATTTGCAAGCAACCACTTCATGCGTAATGCGCTAAATACTTACTTGCATGTAGGTTTTGCAAAGAGACTCTGCCGCAAAATTTGACAACGTCAATGAAACTTTGCGCAAAAAGATCTGCAAGGCAATGTGCTCTTGAGCACTATACACTCATGTCAAGCTCGACGAGCTTATCGATACTTGTGTTGATCCGTTCGTTCTATAACTGACATTGAGATATTGATTAGTTTTTCTAGGCAACCGCTTCTATAACCTGCGTTGTTATCTAAAGCCTAGGATTTCACGGCTGAATCGTAATGTCGAGCATTTGGGTATGGAATCTGTTAGGTCATCTACTGATGTCGTGCGACTGATTATATAATAACGCGAGCGAGTCATCAGCAAAAATTGGTTCATCGCATCCAGAGGATAAGAACGATGTCGCACCTTGGCTGCAGCATTTACATATCTATGGTAAAGCTGATTAGGTATCAAAGAATCAAAATTGTCGTGGGCAGCTTGGAGAACGAGTCGCGTTATATCCGCTATACCTTGTATAGATCTCAGCTTTTATGTCAAATCTATTCGAACTGCACCGTTTGAGACGGCATAGCAAACTACTGAGCTTTCATTTCAAATATGCTATCCTTGCTTCAACCAACGAGCAAAACAAGGATAGCATACTTGAATTGGCATCGATAGTGTGTGCCAAGTCCTTACTGATATTGTGCACAGCACATAAGCATGTTGCGACTTTGGTTGATTACCACTTGATATCCACTTAATGACAGTAAAGTTACACATGGTTGTAGGAACAAGGCGTTGAAATCAGATTTGGATGACCGTGTAGGACATGCGAACAGAGGCTTTTTAAATCGCTTTGGCACATACCTTCTGCAACAACATTTACAATCCAATAGGTTAACATCCGCCAGATTCGTATAATATGCTGCTATAATGAACGATTGATGAACGACAATGATTCACGCCGAAGTCCATAGAAAATGGTCAATACTACTATTAGTAGTGCAACATGCTATGGAGCTTATCCCGAAAGGAGTTGGTGGCGCATGTTGAAGTCGTGAAAGCCGAGATTGAGATTACTGGATGGCTCATAATTGATGCGAAGGCATTCTATATCATCACCCAGGGGTGGAGATATAGCATCATATAAAGATACGATCGGCAGCGCGTGCGATTCATTCGTGGGCCACGCTACGTTACTTCTACAACCAATCCACGCTTCAATTTCTTGTTACCAGTGATGCGTCGTCTACACATGCTCAATATGGAGAGTACAACTACGATGGTCGAGCTTCTGGACAAATTTGTAGAGCTGTTTGTTTAATTGAAGGCAATGGGAGAACCAGTTGATAATTCGTGACAGCTTGTGGTGCTGCAAAGCAGTCTTTTCACCGATTACGAACTTACTTTAGTGACTCTGGAGAACATTCCTAATATTATGCTGATCGGCGTCAAGGAGAAGCCACTCAAGAAGTGAATACGACAGGTTAGGGAAGAAGGGTGTCTGTAGAGATAATGTAGCAGAGCTAAATCAGTTCCTAGCCAGAAATAGGCTTCTTACGAAACAAGAAAGTTAGTTCTTCACAAGAACTTGACTCTACGAGTCAACGAGATTGAAGCATCAGGTCCATATTCAAGGGAATCAACGATTCAGCGAATCGACTGCACAGTGTGCTCAGGATTCTACGCCTTTACAAGCATTGACTCTTCTTACGGCCGGAGACGCCTTACGAAGGCACGTGTCTCTAGTATATTAAAAGTGGAATTGATCTTTTATTTTGTTTGTGCATCAAAGGACACCTTAGACAACACGTAGCCTAATCTAGACACTAAGGCTCTAATTTTTACTTTTTAAAAGATCTTGTTTTTGGTGGCTGACACACGTCAGCCCCCAGCAACTGATAAGGTGCTCGAATATCATTTTAAATGGGATCTCATCCCTGGTGTGGACCACACATGCGATTTCGGTTACCAACCGACGTGTAACCCCGTTACAGAAACCATTTCGAGTCAACAGAGATACTGGGAGAATCGAGGGATGCCGAGAAAACGGTCGAAAGGGATGACGGTACTTCAGCCAGCAGACCCGGTGAGGTACTTACTTGCCCTATGAAGTCAAGACTGATGACCGACCTACAGCATCAAATTGGTAGTGCTTTGGACTCGAATACTACAACGGCGTCTGCTCGCAGCTTTTACGACCGCAACCAGTGCGGATAATTGTTGTGCTGACTCACAGCTCATGATTCTACCGTTGCCCCCCCCCCTTAAGCTGTTTACGGTCGCGGTGTTCGACGCCCCCGAATGGGTGCGACGAGTTACCTAACATTTTGTAAACAAGTTTTGTGAGTCCATGCTACAACCATAGAAGTTAGCAAACACAAATGAATTCGGGCCCCGCAAACTGGACAACGCAGATCCTTGACACGTTTGACGTGGCTCCTAGTGCTTATGTGTGTTTCAAGTTCAATCAACACCTCCGGAAGTGGTGCTGCATAGAAGGCCTCGTTTGAGAGAGTGGTCAGCGTGTTTATTGCTTTGATTGAATCTCTTTTTACATGATCTGAACAATCTTTTGGAGATCGCGGTGGAGCATTTGACCGAATTCCACGATAGGGTGGCAACGTCTGTTGCATACTCGCACCACGGATCCATCTGTAGGTGGTAAAGTGAAGAATGGACACCACCAAACCATCATGTTTTTGGTGGATGCATCAGCACCTCAAGGTTGTCACTTGCAGGCGATATCTGCTTCGCACTAAGAAAGGTTTGGCTCAAGCGGTCAGCCCTGACGAACGATGCGCTGCAGCCGCTTCGCTCTGAGTCCGAGAGAAATGTAGCAGCTTGTCCACTCCTGCCGCGCACATGCACAAGACAAGACAGGCTGATTTTCTCTATGGCATCCTTTCGGTAAGACCCAACGTAATTTACTACTCACCGTCTGAATGACAGCGCCAAGCAGCGCCACTTGTACTGACATCTCTGCTTTCTTCATTGGGACGGAAGAGCGCTCAAGCTCGAAGTGTCTCTCTGGCATACGCCTACGTTTTGTCATGACGATGACTGGCCAGTAGTGCGACATGGCCGCACCACCTCGACGCGACGACCTCCTCGCGGTACTTGCAAAGGTCTGATCTGGCCCAATTGCAACAGAAAGCCGACGGCTTTTGCTAGTTCCTCCCCTCATAACCATTTTGACATCTGGTGACGAGCTCTGGCATTGAAACTTGGCCTTTCGACACGACTTCGGCCACATGGTGTCGTGCTTTCGGTCCATCCCCGAGACCGCGTTCGAGCTTCACAAACGTCTCCTCGTTATAGCAGCAAAAAGTACTGCTGCAGCAATGTGACGCCAAAATCATCGACTCGGACTCGTGGCAGCAGCGCACAAGCGTCCGACTCCGAGGTCGGAATCATGTAAACGGTCTTACGGGGCATCAAGTTTGGACGTGCGATAGAATTGCTACCAGGCCACTTGACTTCTACCATGCGGGTCGTCCTGGTGTCAATAGTTGTCGTGCGTCACCGGCGAGTCGAGGGGTGAAAGAGCTTCCTGCTCACATGTTCTGGAACTATCTGAAACCACACGCGTGAAGGGAGCAACTAGTCGGCCACTGGACTGGAGGAGTCGAGGCGTATCTAGTAGATGGCAGACGCTGCCCCAGCTATGCAAAGCGTCGAGCTTTCCAATCACCGCTGCGGCAGCGGCGGTGAAAGCATCTCCGTCTCCAAGACGACGTGGACAAATGGTAGAGGTCTGATGACCATCTCGTCCCGAGTGTTCAGCATCTGCGACGGTCACGGAAAAGGATCGACGTTGTGTGTAGAGGAATGCAGACCGCGGCACCCAAAGCATCTCACAGTGTCGAGTTCGGAGTGCATCAAGTCTAGCGATGCACTCGTGCAAGACGCGAACAAAGAGGTTCCATTACAATTGTACGCTCCAAATACCTCAGGTTGCTTCGGACTTCACTTGGACATGCTACCTACCGGATTCAGCGCTTCTTTCCTACCTCTTCACAAGTCAGACGTTGGTTTATCATCATCACATGTGGAAGACCATCACGAAACCTCTTTTCTCTCTCTCAACACCGCACGCCCTTTCATGCAGCGCCACGGCAAACGAAGCGCAACTCAGTCACTAGGTCATTAGCTCGCTCAGATTGATCAAGAGCCGCAGTACTTGAGCACTTGCTTCGGTGTTACCGTACAAGGCGACCAACAGAGTCGACAATGCCATAGCGTGTCGCTATGAAGTTCCTTTAAACACCAATCACTTACCAAACTATGTGTCCTTGTACCAGCTTCAATCGACAAGCCGAGCGAGAGGTAACACTGACCATCGCACCATCTTCGAGCTCACTGCTGATGTCAGACATCCGCGACTTCGTTCTCTTTTCCATGCAGATACATCTGCTCGTATAAGTTCGATCATCTCGTCCATGTAGTGAGGACGTGTAACTCGCTGCGCACTTATCTGAATCCAATGCTCTGTGCTTTGCGTGCCCAATCGTATCGACGCACTCGACTACCACTCCGTCTCGTCGCTATCGCCTTTACTTCACACCCCCGCTGGTCGATTGTTTAGAAACCCGTTCAACACGATCACGGCTATCTATTCGCTTCGCTTGCCTGGATAAAATACAGCGCTCTCTCGCCATTCGATCGGATAAATCAGATCCCACGCACCAACTACCTACCACCATCTTGTGGTCGCCCAAGCGTTCCCATATCTGAAAATCCCTCCCCCGATGCAGTATCTCTTCCCGGCTCTCTCGGCCATCGCCGCCGCCGTCGCGCTCGTCATTGCCGAGCAGCAGGTTACCCTCAAGATCCACGTTGGTCCCGGGAAGTTCTACGTGACCCCGATCGGCCAGCAATGCGCGTTCAACAACTGCATTGATCCCCAAGTGTACCCATGTGCGAAACCGAGGCGTCTGCATGCGTCTGAACTACACGTTCGGCAATTGCAGCAACGACCCGAAAGACGTGAGCGTTAAACAGGATTACAACTCTCCGAAGCTGCTGTGCCCGTACCCGAACCCGTACAACAAGAAGCTGGGCAAGCTGCACGACGAGGAGAGCGACGACGACGTTGAGCAAGATCAGTAGTACTTGTGACCACAGAGCACCTAATGTCTTTCTTCTGTGTGTTTTAAAAGGGAAAGAAAGAGGCACGTCTGACTAAACCCATATAAACAACGTTGTTTGAGTGACTTGCACGTGCTTTCGTTCTTCCGATGGGCTTGGACTGACTGTGATATGACCCCGCAATGTAGACAGGAAGGGGGGACACTGTGTCACATGACATTGGCTAGACAATGGTCTTTGTCAACTAATTCAGTGTGTAGACTTTTATGGCACGGCCGGTGATCGTTCTCTGTGCAATGTCCTCTTGTGTAGCCCTGAACGGCCTTACAGGAGTCACTCCGACTGAAAACGCTTCTTGCAGAAGTGCGGATGTTTGCCAGTCACTTTGACGATCGATTTTTCATTCAGAAATGGGAGTGCAGACGCTGCGAGCCGTACAAATTGTCTGGCTCAGGCGGATCTAGACCATTTCTGGTTGAGGCCCATTTAGATATGGGACTAAAACACCTAGCGGACTGCTATCAAGCGCTCCTGACCCCGATTGGTGCTTCGGCACGCGGACTTGTTTTGTCGCAATGACTTTTTTCTTCGCTCACTTTGGTCTGCCCCTCCCTGTCAATCACCGCATGCATTGTTTTGCCTCGGATTTGTGTGGATGTTCTCTGACCAAAAGGCCAAATGATTCGATCAAAACATCTTATCTGGACTACAAAGAATGTAAAGGGCCGTAAAATGCAGCCAAATCGCACACCAATATCTTATCTGGACTACAAAAGCATGTAAAGTGCAGCAAAATGATCCCAGAGAGCACAAATCGGGGCTCAGCATTGCGATCCGCCTGAAGCACCAGATGCGCAAGTGCACACGTCACTGACCGTTTCAATTGGGGCGCCTACCCAAAATAAGTAGTGGACATCATTACTAGCTGTAGTCATACCAGGCGATAATGGCCTCCCTCCTGATGTCGATCAGGTCATTAACATACACACCACAACACAGCCAAAAATTACAGCTGACACGGTCTCGTACGTGCCGTTCACTGTCAACATCTTGACCGCACCGTAATATTGCGCTGCTGCGCCTGATTCACCTCCTGTTGTTTGTCGCCCTGTATTTACCATCCAAACACAGTCCACTGCTGTCTCTACGAACAAAGAGCAGTCTACACATTTTCCGGTCGAGCTTTTTGCCTTCGCGTGATCATTCGGCTTTCCATGTCGACTTTTCTTGCGGCATCTGTGTTACAATGTTCGTCTTCAGTGCATATTTATTGCGTAAAAGACGAAAATGCACGTGTGCGGTGCTGTGCTGTGCTTCCACGAGCCAATCTCGGTGCTGTATGTTGATAAAGTGTCTCTTATATGCGGGTCGAGCTGAGCGCATATACACCAAGTACAGCGAAATGCGAGCAAGCTGGCTGGCCCTCCATCGATCGCTCGAGCTCGCGACGCACCTACAATCTTTCATAAACAAGCTGCACCCACCACACCGCGTCTATTGATCACCACACCAAGCACGCGCAATCGCAAGCCGTTTTCTTCCAGCTTGTGAAATCAGCAGGCACAGTGAGGGAGTGATTCGTAGAGTTTTTTGGAGGGAAGTGCTGCAGCGACATGATAGACTTCGAATCTCCACCTTGTCACAAGTGACGCTGTCATTCAGCCATTGTGGTCTGCATCACGACTCAACATATTTCTCACATTGCTCTGGTCGATCCACACACACGTCGCATGAGGTATCAGTATCGTCAAAGACCATTTGGTCAGCAAAAACAAGTCGTCGAGCACTTCTCGTCTGCACCTGCGATTTCGGTTGCCCATAGTAAGGTCATCTTGACACGGTAGACCATCGTCCACTCGCGATTCGCCAGATTTGACATGACGAACCTATTCTGCTCGAAACGATCCATTCGAAACCTATCGTTTGTTTAGCTTGTTAGCTCTTTTTTCATTGTTGTGCTACGACTTGGTGTTACGTTCGTCATTGACTACGTGAGGCTTTTGTGCTGCTCGTTCTCGTTAAAAACGCGTTCCATGGACGCTTACTATAGTCACAATGAGTGACAGCGTAACAGGAGTGGATCGATGTTGAGGTGCGATTATTTGGCGACATCATCTTTACTTCGATGCGTTACAGGTATACACAGATCCGATGGCAAAAGTCGTGTAAGTATGAAATACCAGCTACACACTTACGGCCTCAGTTCCTCGACTCGGCTTACTCCTTCGACTGATCGAGGTCGTAGTAATCGACATGAGCTCCCGTTTCGTACTCGCCGCTGATGGCAAGTCTGACGCCACGCTCGGACGACTTTGCAGGCGGGATGAGCGTTTCTCGGACCTTCATATCTACAAACTGTGTACGAAGTTCAGGGTCCACACGTGGAGACTCGCGGATCGTCTTTTGCATCCCTGTATCCATCGGCCCAGGCGAGTACTGCAGCACACGCACTTTACCTTTTGCTGCTTGTTCAGTAGCGAGCACTCGATGGTGCATCTCGCGCGCCGCCTTTCCCGTGCAGTACATCATGTGCGTCTTGAAAGGCTCAATACCACACAACGACGTGATATTGACAATCACAAGCTGCGTCAGCTGCTCTGTACCCGTGCTTGCTCCTGATGCCAGAAGTTCGTCTCTGGTAGCCCCAAAGACGTCCAGGAATCGCTTGTTTAGCCACATCACCGACGTCACGTTCAGTTCCCAGTACTGCTGCACCTCTATTGGAGACGAGACGCTTTCCTGCACGAACCCGAGCTGCCCGAGCGATCCTGCATTGTGTACGAGGAAGACTTGGCTGTACTTCTCTGTAGCAAATGTCGATAGCACTTGGTCGATTTTGGCCGTGTAATCTATTGGGTCACTCAAGTCCACCGACTGCACGAAACAGCGCAGTTCATTTGATGCAGATGCTTGAGCCCATTCACAATGTGCCATGCGCTTCGTATCTTCAAGGTCCTGTTCACTGCGAGCCCAGAGATGCTGTCGCATTACATAAGTACACGGATAAGTGTTTGCACAAGTATCTGGTATTGTATCGATACGATACAATAATGAACACGACTCCAGAAACCCAACAAGTAACAAAGTGCCACGACGTGTACAAAGTCGCGTACCAAATCCAAATCTCGGGCACTGAAGAACCGCACGAAATCCAACGCAAGGCATCGGCCAAAGCCCCTCGAAGCACCCGTCACAAGCACAGCAGTTTTCATCGGAAAATCGCGATGTGAGTCTGAGTCTTGTGAATCAATCGGTTCTGCTGGACAAACAGAGCGTACCGAAAACACAAAGATACAATCGTGTGCTATCGTGATTTTTTTTCCTTTCAGTAGCAAAACACATGCCCTCCACAAAAACGCAGCTCATAAAAAGCGTCTATACGCCAAATACTAAAAAGCACCGCCACAAATTGCAAAAGAGCCCACAAACGCACCACATCAGCACCGAGATCACTAGTTGATTACTAAATCACAAACGCACAAACGCACAAACGCACAAACTACCCACAGACCCAAATCCAAGAGCTCCCGAGTCTCACATGCCGCGCGGCGTTCGTCGCGACGATCTTCAGGCTCCCGCGACGGCCCCCACCGGCGCCGCGAGTCTCTCAGAACTCGGCAGCAGCAGCAAAAGCGATACCTCTGTCCCTCTTGCCAAGAAGCGCCAGCGGTTCGGTCAACAGGAGGACTTTTTGCTCATGCTCCAAGTGAAGCTCGACGCCCCCTACAAGGCGCGACATGGCGCGATCCAAAGGACGTGGGACGGTGTGGCCGAGCGGCTGAACGCGCATCCGGACTTTGACATGCGGCCGGTGAAGGGCTCGACCGCCAAAGCGCGTTTCGATACGCTGTTGAACCGACATCGCGAGTGGATGGAACAGGCGCGAGCACGTGCCGAGATGTTGTCGGACGAAGAACAGGCCGAAGGAGGAGAGGGAGAGGAGCACGAAGGGACGGGCGAGATGCGAGAGAAGCGGAGGCGGATGGACCAGCGAGACGGTCCGGTGCGGGCGCTTCTGACGGAAGTGATTGAGCAGATTGACGAGATGCAGTTGAAGGTCGAAGATCATGCCCAAGCGCTCAGCAGAGGAGCAAACAGAGACGAAGAAGAAGAGGGAGAAGGAGGAGATGGGGACGCTGGTCGAGGCTATGGACAGCCGCAGAAGAGAGTGTATGAGGAGTACGAGGACGAGGAGGAGGAAGAGGAGGACAATGGTGATGATGCAATGGCGTCACGTCGGCTGGCAAAGCGTCGAGCCAGTTCAAGTGGAGATAGGCCACCGGTGGACCAAGAGCAGTGGCTGATGCGACGAGACGTTGATGGTGCGCAAGTGTCGCGGATGCACGTTGATTCGTTGCCGAGGGTACATGATATTCCAGGGCGAAGCGATGTAGTTTCGGAAGAACAATCTGCTGCGCCGTCTTCACCGGACGGTCTAGATACTGGAGACTTGACAACAGTACAGCAAGCGATGGGCGAGTTGCTGAAAATGCAGCACGCATTTGCAATGAATCTAAGTGGTGGTGGTGGTGGCGGTCTTATGGCTGAGCTGGAAAAGATGAACGAGGCGAGACTTCGCGAAGAGGAGGAGAAGACAAAACAGCGCGATCTGGAGCTTTTGATCGAGAGGCAACGCACGAAACGGCGACAGATAGAGCTGGAGTTTGAGCGAATGGAGCGCCAGAAGGACCGTGAGGAACAAGCCAAGTTGATTGCAAGCATAGTCGAGCGTCTGCAGCCGCCGATAAAAGACTAACCACATAGTCGCTGGTGGCGGGACTGGAGTCGCTCAACTTGCGCTACAAGTACGAAAGACAAGCACCGTGCGTAGGTGCGTAGCAATGCAACAGCATCGGATGCTGTAAAGCCTGCCGTACCACAATCAGTGCTCAGGTGAGACGTCACCCGGCTAGACGAATCTCTGGCAGCTCTGATGGCGTTGAAGTATCGTATACCCGAAGCCCGCAACCATCAAGCGAACGACATGTGAAGGAAACACGTGCCTCAGGCCAATGGGGCACTATTACTTGACGCGCTCGGCTTTCCATGCTACGCAGACTCATAAGCTACCGATGCACCTCGGGAGCTACTATCATCTGCTGGCGCTTCTCTCTTCTCGCCAAGGTATCGCTGTTTTGCGCCGATTGGCAACACGCATCAGGCAGTCGTGATCGTGTTACGCCAAACGCCAAACGCCGCGATGCCATTCGCACAGTATGCCTACTGCAGTTCCATTTTGTATGCTAACTTTGTCTCTGCCGGTACGTTGTCAACGCAAACGTGCTTACGGCCACGCGCAATCGTGTCCCTTTCAAAAGGGAAAGCACAGGCAATGATGCTGCATCCACGAACAGTTCTACAGTGCCTACATCTGTTGGGAACTTACATCAGTTGCGATACCGCTCCACCTCTGCGCCAGATTCGCGTCTTGCACTACGCGAAGCAACACAAGAGCTCTTTTGCCGTCATAACCCGTTCCTAAATCACGATCCGACATGACCGATTCTCTCCTACCTCTCTCTCCTTTGTGACTGTACCAACTGTTGCATGGCGACTCAGACACCTCGTCAGCTCCTGCAGTCGACATTGAAACCTGCAGAAGCCTTTCCACCTCGTAATGTTTGTCTTCGATGCATGGGCTACAACTGTGACCTTATTCAACGCAGACAGCCGTTTGTGAGAGGAAATATCTGGCTGACCACCACGTGCTGATGCGGCATGCACTTGTTTGGTCGATTAATGTGGCGTAGTCACTAAGAAAGCAATGAGTCAACAATGGAGCAGCGTCATGCTGAGCATCATACACGATACCTACGGCTGGACAACTCTCGAATCGTAAGCCCTTTTCATGTCTTCCCGCCAAGTCTCCTCAGTCGGGACCATTCTCGAATGTCTCCATCAATGCAACGACTTCTTCGCCCAACTGAGCCCAACTCGCTTGCAACGACCGCAGGTCACTCCCCACCTGTGCCCAGAGTGTCTGCAAGTCACGAGTGTTACGTTGCCCAGTCTGGGGGATACTAGCAGGTGACACTGGCTCGGGTGAGGTATTGTCGCTGAAAACGCGGGGGCTCCGGTGTCGACTCCCCCGACCACGAGCAGGCGTGCGACCGGCCGACGATTGTCCCTGGAGTTGAGCTTGACGAAAGCTATCGCTCAAGTCTCGCGCTGGTCCAACTCGAGTCCCAAAACGCAGTCGAGAACAGCTCGTAGTAGTGGTCGTCTCCACCGCTACATCGACCAAAGGTGGAGAACGCAATTGTACAGAGGCCCTCGGACTCTCGAGACTCATCAGACCACCATCGGGACCCTCCTCGTTGCTGCCTTTCGCTTGAACTTCGCCTTGCTCGCATTTGTTCTCGCCTTCTTTCGTCGCAACAGCGACTTCCTCCGTGACTTGACCCGGTGCGGGCACTGATACAGCACTCCGGGCAAGCAGAAGCCCAAACTCTCGTTGGCTCAGTGCACTCGACAAATTGTGCGTATTCGCCGGGCAAAGCAAGTCGTCGTGCGCTGGCAACCAAACATCTTCGCTGTCCACTTGCACGTGCACGTACAACCCCACGCCATCGCCGCTGCTCCTTTCATCTTTTTTCAGCTCATCACTCGAAGCCGGTGCCACCTCAAGCACCGTCGCATTCCGCCACTTGGTGTGTCGGAGGCGCGGCTCTTGGACGCCAACCTGAACCAGGTCGTGCGGCTTGAGAGAGCTGCGCCACTTGGGGACTCGAGCGTACGGAGGTGCGAGTCGCGGCGACGTGCGAGCAATCCATTCGTCCCACTTGGATTCCCAGCTCCGGTAGTGCACGCACACTTTGGCGCGTTTGGTCGACCGGAGTCGCGCTTCGAGCCAGCAAGACGACGTATCTTGGACGTCCAATGCGTCGCCTTTGCTGAGGTTCGCTCGCCATCGTAGCTCCACTCCTTGGCTCGGCCACCCAACGCCTTCAGCTGCTTGGGCTTTCTGCTCCACGAGCAACTCGTGCAGTCGGGCACCTCCACTTGCGACCTCACTGCGGCGGTCGAGACGAAGATCGTCGAGTTTCACGTTCATCGTCTTGGTGAGTCCATTTCGATCGTCATCGAGTGCGTCGGGTCCATCTTCCTCGAGCTTCAGCTCACCTGCTTCCTTGCCGTCGTTGCGCTGCTGCCCGTCTTTGCTTCCTTCACTGCAACGAGCATGACGCTTCGAGACGCGGGGCGTGAGGCCCAACGCTTTCGGACCTGCTCGAGACCGCTTGAGCATGTGATTGATCGGCACCCAAGCGAGTTTGCTATCGCTCGTCCAGGACTTGCGGTAGCAGACACGAACTCGCGACACATCCGACGTCGTGGGGCTACGGGGACGCGAGGCACTGGTCGGGTCAATACCAAAGAGGAATTGAGGAAAGTGTTGACGGAACTCGTCTGGAGCTGCGAGCCACACCTCACTCAGCAACCTGCTCAACGTATCGGTGCGGTAGCCGATCACTACAACGACTCGACCTGCATCGTCCATTAGCTCTTTCGGTTCGGCCGCATCACATGTCCAGAACAGGATCTATCGCATACATGTAAACGACTTCAGATCGAGAGTGTCTGAAGACTAGAGGAGAGCACCACAAGGTGCACGCACCTTGAAGACGTAGGGATATGGATCAATCCGTAGTTGTCGTCGGTTCCGTTGGTACACCACTTCGCGGCGGATCGCCCAGTCATACTTGAGCTCGTGTGTGAGCATGTCCCACGACCCCTCCGACACAAACACAAAGTCGACGCCTTCTTCGAGCTTGGGCTTTAGCACTGCCATTTCGCGGTCGGTGGAGCTCAGTTGCTGGTCAACGATCGGTTCATTCTGCACACTCGGCAACTCGCTCGGGCTAGAGCTAGAGCTCGCCTGGGACTTTTCCCACCACGGCTTCGCGATCGCGTACCAGAACTCTCCTTCTTCCAGCACCGTGTTTTCGGACAGCACTTTGACGTGCTCGAGCGATGACATCGTTGGCATCTCGTTTTGTAGCACCCCAAATCTTTATATGGACGCGTTGGCGTTGGCGCTGTTCACGAACAGCCTCGTCCCGGACTTGCGTAGGTCCGTTCATGCGAGCACTTCAACTTCAACAAATACCGTTGGAAGAAGCAGTCACATTGATAACGACCTGGTCACTACCAATCTACCAGCTGCTGAGCTGAGCTAAGGCATCAGGTAACAACAACGACTTGTTGAGTCCGATATCATCGGCAGTCGTGAAGACGCTTCCTGACTGTGTTGGCTTTCAAATGAGGCTTCCACATGTGCTGATGTGGTAGTGGCTTGTACTATTGAGTTGATCGCAAGATGCTTTTCGCAGCAGAAGCGGAACCGGTAGTAAATTATGCAACGGTACAACTCGACAAAGCCAAAGGTTTACGCGCTAGCTGGACAACCTCTTCCAGATTGCAGCTTATGCTTTGGCGGGCTTCTTGAGCACTGGTGTCGGTCTGCAAAACTAGCGAGACAAGGTCGACGTCTTTTGCGCATGAGTATAACTTTGTTTTCGTGGCAACTGCATGTGTGGAGAAGAATCTCTGAATCCATGAATGCAATCACTTTGACCGATATCTCCTGTGGCTACAAGTCGATCGTTCTCCGGTGTCGACGAAGCAGACGACAAGAAGTAAGTCTACACAGCACGTTTATCGTGACTCAAGACTGACCTTGTAGGGGCACAGAGCCTCAAGCGTGGGCTAGTGAGGCAGGACTGGCATCTAGTGACGTCGGACCATCGAACTTGTCACGTGTTCGACGGACCGACTTGATCCGTGCCACTAGGAACTCGCTGACATGTTGCATTCCCTCGGTCAACAGTTGGCCGTGCCAGTTATGTAGTGATTGCCCATACGCTCTCGGAGTGAGTGAGTTGCCCAACAACGACACAATCATCGGCTCTACATTGCCACCACCTTCCAGCGGCGTGCATCATCGCTACCGCATACTATGGCAGCAATCGAAGGAGAATCTCGTGCGCTGTACACGACCAGTGGATCGGCGCGAGACAACAAAGAGCCTCACGACCGTCTCAGCTTCTCTTCCCACACGACTCACGTGGCGCCATCCCGTACCAATCTCTTCCGTCCAGTTTCGATCAAATCTTGCTCCTGTCCACAAGGATTGACTAACTACCTCACACCTTTCGCTCCAATAGTGCAAGAGGGTCGGCACCGACACTATCCAAGGTGGTCAAAGACCTTTTCAGGCGGGGTCGTCCTGACGAAGTCACGAGGTACGTACCGGCGTTGCTAACGAGGCTTCAGATCGATCAGACATCTTGCAACCGGTAGAGTGTCAAACCAACACGTCTGCTTCTCTCTCTAAACTAACCACCTCACCCGCACATGGCACGCGCCATGCACTACGTTCCACACCAACCCACGCAAGCAAGCGACCGACTCAAACGACAAAAAGAGCCAGACGCACCGATAACACAGCACACACACACAGCACACACACACAAACGAAGCGCACCCAAGAACAGACCGCTCCACTTTCCTCGCATCAACCCCGCAACCGCACATCCCTCTTCACATCCACCTCCTCCTCCTCCTCCTCACCATCATCATCTCTGTCTTCTTTCGTACACTATCGTCGCTCGCCATCCATCCATCCATCCATCATCCTCGCTACTCGTTTTAGGCCTCTCTATATTTAGCCCATCAAGTCAGCGTCGGACCCCACCACAACCCCTCGACATCCACCCACCCACCCAACGACCCATTATCCCACTTCACGACCCATTATCCCACCCACCTCTTTACCTGCCGACCCGACCACTTCCTCCTCCACCCGACTATTGCCGGCCTTACCCCCCACCGCCTCTGCCCACAGGTCCCCCTGTCGTGTCAAATGGACCGCCGCACGTCCTCCACGTGCACGAGCTTCTTGTCCAACGACGGCAGCGACGACGTCGTCGTGCGCTACCAGTGGAACGGCGAGTCCATCGGCCTCGAGCTCATGCGCTCGGCCGCCGCGTCCGACGACCACATTGTCCACTGGGCAAAGGGCGCGCTGGGCGTCACGCTGAGCGTCGAAGAGACGTCGCGCCGCATTGTCGTCACGCGCTCGAGCCGCATCGACGTCCAAGTGGGCGACGTCCTGCGCCGCGCAGGGCCTGTGCCGATCACCGAACAGAACTTTACGCAGCAGATGGCGCTGCTCAAGCAGCAGCACGAACTCGGGGGCACGGGTGCTGCCGGTGTGCCACTGGTGTTTGGCGCGCCGCCGCCGCCCGTGCTCGTGAAAAAGTGCGCCGGGGCGCTGCGCGACGCGGGCGTTGGACCGACGTTTGAGCTGCGGTACGTCGACGGCCGCGTCGTGCGGTACCTCGAGATGAAGGAGCTGCAGGTGCTCATTCGCAACTCGCACAAGCCCTGCACGATGGCGTTTGTCCAGTGCAAAGGCAAACAGTTCTACGACGTGCTCCAGCGGCAGGAGCACCATCGACGGAAGCTGCAGCAAGTCAGTCAAGCGGCGGCCGCGAGCGCGGGGCTGGCGCTCGCGGCAGCGATTGTCGTCAACATTACATGAACAAGAGAGGCGAAAGAGAGAGAAGAGCGACACACGTGATAGTGTACGTCGGGTCGGGTCGTTGATTGGCCGCGCGGGGAACACAGAGCTGGACAAGGGGCAGCGGCGGAGTGGAGGGCGGCAGACCCGTACAAGTTAGTTGTGTGTTGGTGGTGCTCTTTTTTTTTTTGACTGTCGATTCGTTGGTTTGGCTGGTTGGTTGGTTGGTTGGCAGGAGGGAGGGAGGGAGGGAGGGAAGGAAGGAAGGGGAGGATGCAGCTTGAGGTCGTTGGGCTGTCGAGCTGGTTGCGAGATGCCGGTAAGGCGCAAACCTTTACCAGTGCTTTTACTAAAGGGCACACGTTGTGTGTAGCAAGACCCGTAATGTATCTTGTTGTGCCTCTTCCAGTCTGCGCGCTGTCCTGAATGTCCACACCGCACAGCGACGTGAGGTCTGTCTTTTGGTGACTTTGCTGCTGCTGCTGCTGCTGCCAAACGATGGCTTCGATGTCGCCCGTGGACTATTGTCGTTCTGTAGCTTCGCTATGGACAGCACACGAGACTTTCTTCACCTGATCAATCATCGTGTTTATTTGACAGGAGAGAGTGCCTAGAGATCTTTCCAGAGGCTTTGGCAACGGTCGTTTACTGAACGTTCCAGTCATGAAGTCTCGCGTATGATTGTGCCACTCAGTCGCACGCTTTTCAGACTTCCACAGACGCTGCGTAAGCGAGTCGTTCCATCCGTCAGGAACGGCAAGAGATTGCCTTATGACAGCGACAACAGCAATATACGTCAGCGCATGTAATGCGTCGATCTGAGTAACTAACACAAGCATCAGACGCAACCTCCTGAGCCGAGCGACTGCTTTCTTGCTCAATTCTTGTCATGTCGGATCGCACGTGATCGTCAGACGCTTTGCAGGACACGTATGATCAACGCAGATCATGACAATTGCCGTTTAACCGCTACGACTTCGGCACTTTAGTCGTTGCTGATCGCTACGAAGCAATGCAACGCTTTTATCGTGAGTAGCAAAGCTGTCGCACCTGTGTCATCATGGCCTGTGTTTGCGAGGAGCACTTACTGCGTAATCTACATGTACATGCCTCGTATTCTTGGTAAACCGCACTAGTTGGATGCTCGAATGGCATGCGGTTGACAGGAAAGGCACTGGCGCTTTCGCGAAACACTCACCTTCGCCACATGCTGCACCAGCGTCATCCACCGTTTTCCTTTTACCATCGTCTGCAGTGTGGTTTTAACGAGGTGCCTCTTGGTCTTCGACACGAAAGAAAACGCGCTTTTACACATCGCCGATCGCTTCTACGTTGACCGTGTTCTTTGCCAGACGCCCATTCGTTGACGGGCTAAATGCGGTCTGTACAGTACTGCGTACGTAAGTGCTCGTACATTCCGTCGTACATAGTTGCGCGATCGCCGCAGCGATGACGTGTCGGGACGCAACCAGTCGGAGTATTTTTACTTTTGCTGGGTACGGCGCGACCAGTGATCGTGCGGGCGGCAAAAGCTCGAGATATCCCTTCCACTTGACCTTCGCGAGAAAGAGTTCATACCGAAGCATGCTGCCGTGACGAGGAGATGGGGCTTACGCTGACTCGAGCTCTATGACAGGGATTCAGAAGGCTTCACTGCAGTCGTAACTTTATGTTTATGGGAAGATAGATTATCAATCCATAACGACGATCACGAAATGTGCTATGTACAGCACGGACCGGGCCGTTTTTAAAAGTGCAGCAAACAAGAGATCGACCCTAAGGATAAGATGCAGCACGATGCTTTTTCACTATGATATGTGGATTGAGAGCGCTTCATGACCGTATGTTCATCATGTCAATGTCCACTGGACGCGACATCATTTGGTCTGAGCTTCCACATCTTTCACCTAATCGATATTATCTAAATGACGCAATACAGACTGCCTATTAACGATTGGCTCATGAATTAGCTGATTTCGGCAAGAAAAGAACTGATGCAATCAAATTATAGGGCGGCTGATCTATTGTTGTCCACGTCAGCTTATTATCATTCTGTTCAGGACGATTCTAGCATCATTATTAGGTGACAAATGAAGCCATATTCAGACTGAAGCTAAAGCTTTTTTATTAATCTGCATCGACATGTTTCAGTTCTTTTCTACGACAAAAGTGCCAGAATGTTTTATCAGTACAAAATTGATCGGCTGACGAGATTAAAAGTGAGTGAGTGTAAGTATTAGCTGATCGCGTGGAGAAGTGCAATTTCAAGCACAAGGGCTTCACTAAACATTGTAGCACTACATGTCAACCACCTTGACTTCGACATGGCGACTGCAAGCGTGTCCGGCGCACTGCACATATGCCATTAATCGCATCCAAGTTTTTATAAACGACTCTCGGCCCTTGCATGTATCTACTTCCTGCCAAGCAAACATTAGTCCCACCAGGAGAACTTTGTGGGTTTCTAGATGTCCGTGCTGATAAGTCTCTCAATCGCGGTTCACCAACAGAACTAGTGCTATGAGTAACTCAATATTTGAAGATGAAAGGAGACGAAGTGTATTCAGACTTACGAACACCAAGATCGCAGCCGCTAATGGTGAAGCAGTGTCAAATACGTGACCCATCTGCTATCAGTGCAAATGAACAACTGATATATATGAAGCAAGTTCTACCGTTGTCATGTATGTCTTCATTGACGCAACCTTGCAGATTCCACGATGCTCATCTGAGGATTCTATTCCTTATAAGTCCTAAATCGATGGCTTGCATCGAATGTCTAGTCTCATAGCTACATCCATCTGATATCGATGGAATATCCGTTATACAACCATCCTCACTTCGAATAAAATTTGATCCATGATTAACTTGTGCACCCGCCTATCATCTCGATAAGTCAATAAAGTTTGATCTTATGATGTGTTGTAAAGTCACCTAAGAAGTTGTTTGTCTTTATTAAGTACCCTTCTCAAATTGACTAAAACGTTGCGACTACCAGCGCAGATAAATGTGAAGTGCTTCTGCTTGAGGTGAAATCAGTCGCCAGTAACTTGGCATGTGGATAGTCAACAAAAAACAGGGTCAGCCCAAGTACATAGTGATATCACCTATGTGATGATTTCATGAATGATTGTAAATTGATCGTATCTTAAATGCTACATCAAAGTCGGCTTCTGTCGTCGACAGTGCAACTATTGTTTGGCATCAAGTGGCCCGCGCTGTTGCAATAGAAACGCCCCGGAATGCAAGTGGAGTGATCGGAAAGTGAAAACGCGAGACCAATAAAAAAGTAATACACGATGTGGCAATTAGAGGTGAGACAGTAGGCAATTTATATCGCGCGATATAGCAATCACGATGATTCAGTCAAACTTTCCAAGATGCGAATTACATAAGACATTGCAAACTAAGTAGATAAATACAACTATATGCACCTTGCCAGAATACGCTCGATCGACTGATCATCTCGCGCTTCTTTCCGACTGGCATTGTATACACAGCCATCAAATTATCAAAATGTTTGATTTGCGAGCATGGGCGCTGTTGTTAAGCTTATCAAGAATCAAGTTCAAATCATGATCTCCTTAACCGTGCATTTTTTACATCTGAATATATACAATTTTTGCCTACCAATTGTGTAATACACGTCTTACGCACCCAGCATAATGTTTTGTTGTGTCACATCAAATTTACTTGATTGCCGTAGCAGCGCACATGGCACATTGCCTAATGCTTGTATATGAGTACGAGATCGTCCGGACATATTCATGAGATTCAAAAGTATTGTCTACATTAATGCATCTAAAGTAATGGCAGAGGAATCTCTGTATACTTGTGTGTCCGGTAGTGTGAGGTATCTTGTATCCTTATATTTCGGCTGTATTGCCTAGGCAAACTTTTTACTAAAACAAAACTAATTCATCACTTATCGCTTCGTGCACAACAACATATTCCTCCAGACATCCTTCATCGGAACGATCTGTATCTTATATGGGTATAGTTATTCCCAGCTGCGGCAATTCTTACTTTACTTATTCGTGACATATGCAATGCCTTCAATTCAGATAAGCCCCGTGAAATGTGTATTTTTACTTTATCTACATCTCAAAATTTGACTTACGTCCGAGCATATTCCTGTTCATTTCCTTCTTCCTATCTCTGATTAATCCACTTTATGCTTACAAGATTTCTTTTACCGCATTCTCGCTGTCGGGACTCGTATCGTGTCTCACACACCATCGCGCTATTGGAACTTTGAAGGAAAATAATACAATATTGATCACATACCACGATTTGCGAAATTTCCATTGCGATATGCTTTAAAAATGCCGCCTTCATATAGCTCGGGAGTACGTGTTGCAGCCATTCCCGCAATCAATCAAAGTATATCATTCGATGGTTTTTAAGAAACGTTCAAACAAATCCATTCTGGCAGGCTATCAACTAACAAGTGACACAAGTCCATTTAAACCCTGAAAGGGTACTTGTACCGCTCCTTCTAAATCGCCAAAACCATATAATGAGAATAGTTTATCGTGTGCAGGTACTTTCCATCAAACAATTTCTTGCCTTAAATTCTTGTTATATAGATTATTTGTTTTATTTCATGCTTCAATAAGTTTTTATTTCTACTTGAAACGGCGTGCTTCATAAATTTGTGACACAACCTCACCGAGGTTCTTGTTTTGACTTAACTTATTTTTGGTGTGCGTACACATGTAGTATCCGCAACCAATCCTTTGTATCTACTTATTTGCAGTGGCTTTGAACCGCTTCGAAGACAAGAAAGAAACTGACGCTTTTCGACAATCGGAAGACAATCGGGTGTTGGTCAATGCAATATTTTCGCTTCATTTTTGACGCATTCAGTTTTGCCATAAGGTTAAAAATACTGTTCATCGTACTGCTCGCATATGTCACTAAGCATTTTGTACATCAAAATTCATCACGGACAATACTCGTGATATGAAAAAATATCAGGTGATTCATCAATCAAAGCCCTTGTGAGACTTACAGACCGT